ACCAAAGGGGGGGACGACATTGCTTAATCAAACGATATTAGGTACAAATCCATAATTAAAGTTGAAAGTCGCAAAGCAAAATCACTTTGATTGACTAAAGCTGGGTGTAGGCCTAGTAGACCCCGTTACGACTTTTGAACGTGGCTTCTTCCCCTCTCTGTTAACATTCCTCCCGATGCTTCTTCACTGACTGATGAAGCCTTTTACCGACATGTTTAGGACGACACCAAGCAAAATGACGTTGCCACCGTAGCAAAAGAGTCATTGCAATAGAATAGCTAGAATGCGTTGGGATGGCTATTTTAGATTTATTAAGAGAAAGGAGGGGGTTACATCACATTCATCTGGTAAAATATTCATTCTCTATCGAAGAAACCCTTGCCGAATTAGTCTCTATTGAATTTTTTAGGGATACTTACGCAAATGATCTTGAAACTTTGACTCGGTGTGCAATATCGTCCTTAAACTTTTAATTTGTTCAACGTGGTCCACGAACTTTTAATTTCTAGGACGACATTGTATATTGGGCTAAAGTTCAAGGATCACATTGAACAAATTAAAAGTTTTGGGACGACATTGCACGTTAGGTTAAAGTTCATGGACCATCCATGTCATTTTCTTTATTTTCTACCCTCTATTTCCTTAGCTTCATTCACCGTGTAGTGTAGCAAAGATTGTGCTGGTGGAGAAAAATGAGTTGGTCCATCTTCATATCACACTCAATGGCTATGCAAACCACAAAATCGACTGTTGCCATAGATGTCAAAGTTTCGGGGATAATTTATAACTTTTCAAAATATAGGGATTATTGCGCAATTGAGCCAAGGTTCAAGAGGGTATTCCCGAATTGTGACTTTTCGAAATTCAGGAGCTATTACGGAATGTATCAAAATTATGGACCTAAGCAGGTTCTTAGAAGGCTCAAGGGGGATAGGGGAAGAAACTCCTCGGTATGGTAGAGAGATGTCACTATAAATTCTTTTTGTTATTGAGAAGAAAAAGTTAGGGACGGAACTTGGGAACTTGTAGGTGGAGAAGGTAGACTCCATATCAGCTCCAGTTAACTACCGCCGAGTAGGCAGGTATAATAACCTCTTGCGCTTGGGGTGATGCAACAGAGTTTAGGCTCTTGCTTAATTGGCATGTGCTTCACATAATGTCTCGTAACCAACTTGCCAACCAAGTACCCTTGGTTACGAGACATCGTGACTTTTTGAAATTCAGGAGCTATTGCAGAATGTATCACAATTCGGAAAGGTTTTGAGCAATTATCAATTAGAATTGCTTTTTAAGCTTTATTTCTCGAATTCACCCTTATATTTTGTCCAAAATTGGCAGTCAAGTCACGAGGCTCTATCTATTCCTTCCAGAACGAAGAGAGCCCATCAAGTTCCTAACATGCCCATGTGTGAATGACTCGTTCGGTCTAGACAAGCCCATCACTTTTGCCTCGCGAATTCCCAAAATTCCAAAGAGCCATATACCATCTTTGGATTATAAGGCAAATTCAGGTTTGGTCTTCAATTAGGCCTAACTCACTATTCCAGTCATTCTGAAAAGAAATTGCACAATAATTTTGAGCTGGGCTAAGTCTGACTGAGACCAAACAAGCCCGGTTTTCTTATATATATATATATATATATATATATATATATATATATATATTCATTAAATAGTTAAAATTAAAGGAGAAAATTACCCAATCAATTCTAAATCTATTGGACAGATACTAATTCAATTTTAAACTTTTCAATTTTATCAATTAGTCCTAGACTTTTGTGTGAGATTGCACTATAGTGATATCGGCCAATTTTGTCTGAAGACTGCTAATAGGACTGTGCGCCATGTAGGACTACACGCAATGATAGGACCGCCACGACAGCGATCTCCGGCAAAAATTGGCCGGAAGGACTACATTGGAATTTTGGGCAAAAGTTTAGAACTAAATTTACAAAATTGGAAAGTTTAAGATTGAATTGGCATCCATTCAATAAGTTTATAACTGATTAGACAATTTCCCCTGTAAAAAGGCTAATATAACAGGCGCACTAATGTCCCTATCACTCGAAACTCAACTCTTTCATTGCTACAAAAATGTGATTTTATGTCTCTGATGATTCGACACGACGAAAAGAGTGAGCAATTAAGGGTGCGTTTGTTTCACTAAAACTTCATAATAAAGAAAAATATTTTCCATGTAAATTTCAAAGAAAACGATTAGTTTTCATTTGTTTGGTGATTTAGGGAAAGTGATTTCCTTCTTATTAAAAAGGGAAACCGTTTTCCCAAAATCCATTTGTTTTTCAGTCCATGGTTGTAGTTTTCTATCATCCAAACACTAGAAAGTCGAAAAATAATTTCCCGAAAAACAATTATCCTCCAACCAAATGGACCCTAAATTCGAAATCGAACAAACTTGTGCTGAAAAAAGGGGCAATGCTGGCTTTCTCCACTTCTATCTAGGGGGCACCAAATGCCCGCTACTCTCTCCCCAATCATTCAGATGGACATTCGGATTGCCACGTGATCCCCCGAATGTGATTCCTCCTCAAAGAGGGAAAGACCACTCCAAGTTTCGTGGGGTATCTTCAAAATTCGAACACTTTCCGGAGGGACCCTAGAAAACAAGGGACCGTTCACGTCGAACCTCAAATAATTCGGAGCACCAACCATAAATGAACGAACACACGCGCATACAGACAACGCGCAGATGGAGACAATTCTGCCTAAGCAGTGCCCACTTCACTTTGTTTGCGCTTCGATTTCGCTCGGTCCCGTCGTACGTGCACGAACGTGTTAACGCCCGGAAATGGCAAGTGGAAAGGGAAAGCCGGAAAGGAAAGCGGGGACACTGCAATAATACAATATGATCACCAAACTTTTACCTTATTTAATATGATTCCTGAATTTTAATTCCACGTATAATGTGATCTCTGAACTTTGATATATAATCAATATAATTCCTAGACTATACGAAAACGTTCGATATTGTCTTATGATCCAGAGACAATATTGAATATTGTCATATGATCCAAAGATTAAATTGAATATGTACTAAAAGTCTAAGGACCACATTACACACTGGGATAAAGTTCAGGGACCATATTAAACAAATTAAAAGTTCAGAGACCATATTGCATATCGAACCAAAGTTCATGAACTATTTGTATCATTTTCCCTAACTTCAAATGTGTTGCTCATATGGATCAATTTATAAAATCGACATTATGTGATTTGATGAACTGTGGTTGGAAAACTCAAATAATAATTGTCTTGAGTCACTTGCTAAACGATCAATTAAAAGAGTATTTATAATTTTCAATGGCAAGTACTATTTTAGCCTTCAAAGTTTCATGGTCCGTACAATTTGATCTTCTAAGTTTTGTTAAATCATAGTAATAGTTGGAAATTAACGTATCAAATATTATCGATTTCACCCACAAAGCTCTTTTCCTACCAAACTATGCCCTTGGCCTTTTCCATTTGTGAGCTCCTCTGGCAAATCATGATGTGCACATTCTAGCTACTCTGCACTTCTATTCATCAATGTAGGAATTGGGTTCAAGCTTTCCCCTGCCCCTTCTCATCAATGAACTCCTAACGTATACGAAGGAGTGTGGCACCAAAGTAACCTAAGATGGCCGGTTTTTTTTCTTAAAGTGATCTCTACAAAGGAAGCATCTAGCGTTAGCGAGTATATAAGCTCGAGAAGCGATTCATTAATTCAACCTTTATGAATCCATTTTTTTGTTCACTCCTTCGGCGCATGTCTCCGCAACACAAAACGAGAATTTCGCTTGTTATAGGACTTGACCAAACATCTCACAACACGAGCTGATAGCAGCCATGCAACACCTATAATTTGTTTTGTTTGTGCGGTTTCAGTCATACTTTGTGCAATTGAGTGCTCTAATAGTTTAACTGTTCCTATTGAAAATGTCAAATTAGTTAATGACGTCGCACTGTTGATATGTCGGAAAATGGTATTCGATGCTTGTGCAGCACCAAACTAACGTCAAATTAGCAAATGAAACACCAGGAGAGAAAAGGAAAAAGAAAAACCTAACCTGACCACACTAGTTTCTATGAGTAGCTGAAGCTTGATTACACGGATATAAAAAACGTATAGAACTTGATTGCACAAAATAAAAATTGAAAGATCAAATCGCATAAATCGAGTTAGACAAAGGACTCGATTGCTCAAAATAATATTAAACCGTATAAACACTAAAATCGATGAATTGATCGTACTTAACCCACTCATTAATGCATCTACCACGCAAATTTAATACATTGAAAATACGTATTTGCATCAACCCGTCTCTAATAACAGAACAGGAAACCTTTAGTTTGTGGTCCTCATCTTTTTTATTCCCGTAAATTATCCTTACTTAATTTACGTACATCGATGACTTACCGTACTTTAATAAGATTTTTTTTTAATAAGATCTCCGCACGTCTAGCATTATTCTAAATAAAAAAAAAATTGCCAGATATCTACTTACAAGTTCCAATTTGATGGGGCAAATCTAGCAAAAAATATTTCTTTTGATGAAGCAAATAGTATCCGATAGTTTCCGATCCGAACAAGGTCGCACGTTCTGACACGGGAGCACAGGAGCGCAACGCTGCACGCAACGCCACGTGTGCGCCACCTCCCCGACCACCCACTCCACACTCCTCACACTCCCACACGCACGGACGGTGGCGCAATTCAACACGCCACCCAAAAGCCAAGGAAGACGCCACCGCAAACGACAACGGTTTCCGAGGGGCGCGCTCGTTTGCAGTTTTCGCGGACCCTTCCTTCAACCTTTTCCCCAATCACTCACACATGGCAAGTTGCATGAACATGAACAATAGAATTCGCACTTTTCTTGTTGAAGAATTAGTCTTAAATCGTGCTGTCCGTGCTATAAAAGTCAATTGATAAACCAATCAAATAGATCGCGTGTCGAATGTTAATTCCTTCTTAAATTAAAACGAGATACCGATAGATCTATCGAATAAATATTATCTGATTACATTCTATTATTATACCAGATCGAAATTTACGGACTAATAGTTACATATAAGGAACCAAAAGAGAAACGCGACTAGCTAACTAGGAGGCATATATACTTAATATGGTCTGTGAGAAGAGTTGGAGCGACGTATAACGACGGCAATGACAGATCGTTGTCGGAGGAGGGGAACTGAAAAGCGAAGCTTAGTGATGTTGGGCGTCGTGTAGTTTGGAGGTGGCATCGGAGAGCATCTTCTGGATCCTCTGTCTTGTCTCCACGCGCGAGCCTCTCTCCTGCTCGTCCCTCATGCTCCTCCCGCCGTAGGCCTCGAAGAACTCCTTGTTCTCTTTCTCCAACTCATTCCACACTGCAAAACCCACCTTTGAGCTGTCCATCGACTATTCGGTACATCAAATACAAAACATTGATGATGACGACGACGACGACGGTGATGCATGCAGAAACATCCTATTGCAAATAGTAGAGTATCATAATTGATAAAAACCCATAAAACAAGGACGATGAACAGCGCCGGATCGAGGTTTTCTGCGACTTTTCATGAAACTCTCCGATCTTTCTGAAGAACCCAGAATTGAATATTTTCGGCTAATTTCATCACCATGGTCTCGAAGCAGTCTAGGATCATGTTTCTAGTATTTCGTACACATTCCAGACGGCCAAGCACGATAAAGAAAGAAGGCGAGACAACGGAAAAAGCTAAAAGCAGCGAGCGATGGGCGACCTGTGGAAGTGATGACGGGCTCGATGTTTGCATGTTTGGAGAGAGCCTCCATGCACTCCTCTTTGCTCATGTTGAAGAGTATACACTCCTCTATCAGGTGGTGCACCTGCACACACACACACACACACAAAAACATATGTATACCCATCAGATCAGATCACCACTCAAGATAACAGTTCAAACAACAACTTTGCCTGACGATAGCTATACCATTCGGATGTATGAAGCAGGAGACTCCCCCATGACGATGGCTCACCCTTCGCCTTTTGTAGATACCAGACAAAGATCGATACTGGTGCGGACCGAGAAACTTGAGAGGCAGAGGAGAGGCTAATCAGATTTTCCGGGAAAGTTATCAGCGGACGGGAAATGCGCAGGAGGAGGAGGAGGAAAGAGAGGCGATCAGAAAGGACGACCGGAACCAAAAAAGAGAGAAGAGGAAGGGGCTAGATCAAGAAACCCAAATGATGGTCCAAAATATGGTTTAACATGTGACGACAGTGTGCGTGCAATGCATATTCTAATGTTTCTTGGCAACATGGGTAGGTCAAAAGAGAAGAAAAGGAGGAGGAAAATGGCGAGAACGGAGTAAATTTTTTAAGCGACGGGGAGAAAAAGACGATGACGTCAGAGGGGCGGGGGGTGGGGTGGGACCCGGGCGCCCACGTGGGCCGCGGGACGTGATTGGCGGAGAGGGGATACGGGGAGATTCCATAAGCAAAAACCCCGAGGACTGTTTTTTGTTGTGCGTTGAGCCTCACCGTGGCCCCCGTGCCACCGTGGCGGTGTCCACGTGACGCGGGCCCGGGCAGCCCTCTAGCAATTCGTCACGTGGCGGGCCCACAGTCACCCGCCACCCCCGGAATGGCAGGGCGGGCCCCACGGGACCCTGACCTCCCCTCCCCGAGGGAAAATGGCTTGCGGGTTGCGGCTCGCCCCCGTTTCCTCTCTGCCTATCTCCGCTTGTCCGTAAATTTTCGTCTTTAAATTTTGTCTTTTTCTAGTTTTTTAAAATTAATTTTTAGATCAGGCTCGTTCGTTGTGTTAGACACCTCGGATACTTAGGGTGCGCATGACAATATTTCTATATCGGAAAACTATTTCTATTCAGAAATGATTCTTTTTTATTCTGTGCCCGGAAACAATTTTTAAGCATTTGAAGGCGTTTAGTAACTGTCCAAAATTTCTATTCCTAGGGATAGAAAAAACGAAATACGTTTGGTAACTACACAAAAAAATTTCAAATTTTTATTAATAATATTTCAAATTATTTAATTTTTTTTTCTTTTTTTTTTTCTTTCTATCCTTTCTTCTTTGGCCATGGCCAGGGCGTCGCGGCCCTCGCCGCGGCGGGCGGCGAGGTCGCCCCGCGCGCGGCGGCTCGACCCCCGCCACCGGGCGAGGCGGCCTCGCCCAGAGATGGCAGGCTCGGCCGCCCGGATCCGGCGAGGCCGAGCCTCGCCGTCTCGGGCGAGGCCGACCTCGCCGCCATGACCAGGACTCGGCCTCGCTCGATCGGCGAGGCCGCCGCCCAGCGGCGAGGTCCGCCCTCGCCCTCGCCGGCGAGGCGACCCTCGCCTCCTCCGCGGCGCGGGGCCGTGACGCCCTCGCCCAGGCCTGGCATGGTGCCGCCGGCCACGAGACAGCGACGGCGGCTCGGCCAAGAAGAACAACACACAAAATAAGAAATGAAAAAAAAAAAAAAAAAAAGAAAAAAACTGATTCTCAAAATTGTCTTGAGAAACAAGAAGCAACTTTTTTTACTTCTTGTTTCTCTTCCAAACTGTTTCTCGACACAAATTTTTGCAAAAATGTGCCCGGGAACAAAAAGTTTACCAAACGCATTTCTGTTCCCAAACTATTTCTAGGAACAAAAGAACAGAAATTTTCACTATTTGGCACGTTACCAAACGGGCCCTTATTCTCGTTCTATATGAATTTCATGTATTTATGCAGTATGTGACGCTCTTCAAAGTTCGTATTCTTATGAATGTGAAGGATTTTTGTGTGTATCGAGAGTACCCAAAAGAACAACGAAATCTCGTAATTTTATTCCGGCGCGGAGTATATCACTAATGACAATGTTCTTTGGCACGCAATGGATTTCTTCATAATGGTTCGGGAGTCCAACTTGGAACCATTTAGAATGTTGCGTGGAACCAACCTTTTACATACCTTAAAACCGAGGAAAACGACAACTGCATGTAGACCATCCATAATTAGAGTCCTTTTTGGGTAATTAATGGAAAAATTCTCGATATGCAAGAAACTAGTTAATACAGCTATCAATTGCGATCGTCAAATCTTTTGGATAATTACCCCATGAGTCCTAAACTTATTGTACAAATATTAATTCAATTATAAACTTTTTAATTTTATCAATTTATTCATGAATCTTAGCACGAAATTTCAATGCAGTCCTTTAAGCCAACAGCCGCAGAAAATCGCTGACGTGTCTTTCAATCATCGCCGGTCGTCCTACACAGCATGCTGATACAGACAACTTGTGGATCATTACGCTAGTGATTTTTCGGCGGCAATTATTCGAAATGATTATATTGAAATTTCGCTCAAAGGTTTAAAAATACGCCGGCAAAATTGAAAAATTTCATATTGAATTAGCATCGATATACTAAGTTTAAGGGAAGATGGAGCTCCGACATAACCCCGCTTTTGGAGGAAAATTAACTCGAAAAGTGAACTATTTCTCCACTATCAACCCTAGTTAATCGAGCTTATGCCCACATTAATAATTATAATCTCAGGGACTCGGAGCCCACACCATAGTGCCGAATATAAATATGGATATCGGAGTCAAGAGGGCACAGCGACATTGTTGTCTCGTGACGATGCGGATCATGTGCATCACTTCACAATACGTTTAAAAATTACCGCACTAAGCTAGATGAATATTAATATAATGTTAGGAGGCGATGGTGCAATTACAGCTATAAATGACAGTGACGTGGTCGTCTGTTGGGCTGGCGATCATACTAGAGACGCGACGTGTACCCGATTGCCAACGTCAGACGAATCGGCTTTTACCTGCGAAGTTAATTTCATTCGCTGCGCTTAACCAGGGGGGAGAGTGAGAGGACACCAGCCTGTAATAGATATGTCATGTTACCTACCCTTTCATAAGTTGTTGTCATGTGCACTAACATCTCTAGAAGGTGCTATCAATCCTTGTTTCCGAGGAGTTCTAGAAAAATGTTAACCATGGGTGATAATATTTTTACATAGATTATTTACTCCCTTTTTTTTGGCAAAAGGGTTTTTGCAATTAGTAAATTTATTATTTGTATAAAGAGAAAAAAAGGTAGTTTTGCAATTAGTTAACAATTTTCGTTTACCTAGTTAACGAGATAATGTTTAGTGCAACATGAAGATGGTATTTTTTATTTTTTTTTGCTTTTGCAAGTTGCCCAAAAAGAGCTTATGAAATGAAATCCACTAAATACTCTCCTAGATGGGTTTCTTTTACTCTTAAATAGATGGTCATGTTTTTCTATTCCTAATCAGACGTAATTTCCTAACTGGTCTTTTGATTGATGTTGCAAACATGGACATTACTCATATTTATATCCAGTTAGGTTTGCAAGCAGGTAATATCGTAGTTGTAAATCATCAATCAGAAGTATTATTGGACTAAATTATATCCATAAAAATACACATTGAGTGGAATTAACCTTATATCTTCAACAGTCGCAATTAACTGGCCCATTGACTAAATTGATTTTCCAAATTATTATCACCAATTTGGCTATTTTGGTCATCATCAGCCCGATTATTCTCATTAATGTGACGTTGATAAGAAGATTCAGGCATTTGCATGGTTCTTACAGGGGATTGACTACTCTAACCAACATTATTGGCATCAATAAATAAAGAGGGACTAGGAACGTTCCTTGTTACCAATGGATTGGATATTGGTGGTTGATTAGTTGATGTTGGCATCGAGAAAACATCATTCATGGCATTGAGAACAATTGGCTTGATCACGTCAAACATGTGACTCACAATGTAATTGGCTATACCGTTTTGTTGCTCTTTGAACAATCTCTTCATAGTGGTCAACATATAAGGATTTGGTGCAACTTTTCTCAATTGATCTTCAGTGAGACGTCGAGAAAGGTCTACCCCCTCACGCTGGCCTTCTTTTGCTATTTGGTTAACGGGTGATCACGTGTGTGCAAACCGGTCACTGCCACTAGGATTGTTACTCACAGCATTGTCAGGTCCTAGATGATTCCTTGTTCACGGCATTGAGTTTCCTTAAAACGAACCACGAGTCATCCCACTAGGTATGCCAAAAAGATGTCTTGTCAAAATTGTATCGTCGACGAAATATCTTTTATCGAAATTCGTTCTTTGGTTTATATTAAGAAGAGACGAGTTCCGTGGCAATTCCGAACAAGAGTTATGTGGTTTTTAGATGCTTTGTCAAAATTTAATCGATGACGAAGTACAAAATATTTTGTTGGAATTTAATTGACTACAGAGTGAGATGATAGAGAGATACAACGTTAGAATTTAATCGATGACAAAAATTTGAAAACCACAACTAAGATACATGTTGTGATTTAACCGATAACGATATATCTGAAACTATGACTAAAGTACATGAATTGAAAGATATTTAAATTGCAAAAAAGTAAAGATAAAAATAAATGTGGGAGAACGTGAGTTTTTTATTTGATTGGAGCGAGCTTTTATATGAATACATTTAGGGTATTTGAATCTTTGGGTGTAACTTCCTTGCCGCGATCTCGGGCTACATAACTCCCTTATGAACAATTATTACTTGAATTTTTTATTGTAACTTTCTTGCCACGATCTTAAACTTCATAACTCCACGCAGTCCTTATCTGAAACAATTTCAATTGTCTTCAATACTTATCTTGAATATTAATCACGTGGTGAAATCGTTACTAACTAATCGGCATTGTATATCGTTAACACAATTTAGTCACCCGAATTCATGATTATCAGATAATTGTTAAACCAATTGGCTTTGTATAATAACACCGGGTCATCAATATAATTGTTACTCACCAACATTGGAGTCAATCGTCAACCAATTACCACCGCATATCGATAGCATCACTCGGTGATCGATATTTAGAAATCAATGTGCATTTTCCTCTCACCCGGTAGTTGTCCACAATCGATTAAACCCTACTCACATTGACTCAGTTTGTCGATTATAGTGAAGAGTTGGTCATTTTTTGACGTAGATAGGATGGCTATTTGTGTCATAGATTCGTGTTCCCACCGTATTATGTTAAAATTCGGATCTAATTTGAACCCGACATGTCTATTGATTAAAAAAGAACCAAAAAAAGAAAAAACTCTCCCTTCCCTTCTCCTCTCTCAATTCACCCAACAAGACATGTAGGGCGTGCATGAATCCATTCTGGAGCAGAAATTCTGCTCCAGAATACATTCCGGAACAGAAACGCGTTTGTTAAAAAATTTCCAGAATGCATTTTGGAGCAACTTTTGCATTCTGGAATAAAAACGCGTTTGGTAAAACTTCATTCTTTTTTTTGCTCCAGAATGAATTTTTGCTTCCAGAATGAGTTTTGGCCCAAAAAAGAGAAGCTACTTGTTGTAGCTTCTCTTTCTAGCCCAAATTTCCTTCTTTACAAGAAATCAAAAATTTCAAAATTTCACAGAATGACTTACAATACATGTGGCCACCCACTTTGCGTGAAATTTTAAATTTTTTAGGTGCTCAAAAAAATCAAAAAATAAAAAATAAAAAATTTTATAGAATGGCTTAGAATACCTGTGACCATCCATTTTGAGTGAAATTTCCATTTTTTGAGGTGCCCAAAAAAATTTAAAAAATAAAAAAATTTCAAAATTTCACAGAATGGCTTAGAATACGTGTGGCCACCCACTTTGAGTGAAATTTAAATTTTTTTAGGTGCCCAAAAAAATAAAAAATTTTACATAATGGCTTAGAATACCTGTGGCCACCCACTTTGAGTGAAATTTAAATTTTTTGAGGTGCCCGAAAAAATAAAAAAAATAAAAAATAAAAAATTTTACAGAATGATTTAGAATACTCGTGGCCACCCACTTTGAATGAAATTTAAATTTTTTTAGGTGCCAAAAAAAAATCAAAAAATCAAGAATTTCAAAACTTCACAGAATGACTTAGAATACTTGTGGCCACCCACTTTGAGTGAAATTTAAATTTTTTAAGGTGCCCAAAAAAAATTAAAAAAATAAAAAATTTCAAAACTTCATAGAATGGCTTACAATACCCGTGGCCATCCACTTTGAATGAAATTTAAATTTTTTGAGGTGCCCAAAATAAATTAAAAAATAAAAAATTTCAAAACTTCACAGAATGGCTTAGAATACCTGTGGCCACCCATTTTGAGTGAAATTTATATTTTTTGAGGTGCCCAAAAACAATTTTAAAAAAAAAAATTTAAAATTTCATAGAATAGCTTAGAATACTTGCGACCACTCACTTTGAGTGAAATTTGAATTTTTTGAGGTGCCAAAAAAAAATCAAAAAATAAAGAACTTCAAAACTTCACAGAATGGCTTAAAATACCCGTGGCCACTCACTTTGAGTGAAATTTAAATTTTTTGTGGTGCCAAAAAAAAATCAAAAATAATTTTTTTTAAAACTTCACAAAATGGCTTAAAATGCCTGTAACTACCCACTTTGAGTGAAATTTAAATTTTTGGGCACCTCCAAAAGCAAAAATTTCTTTCTGTTTTATCAAACAGATTTCTCTTCCAGAAATCAATTTCTGGAGCAGAATTAGTCATGTTTTATCAAACAGATTTCTCCTCCAAAAATCAATTTCTGGAGCAGAATGGATTTCATGCGTGCCCGTAGATTCCGACGGGCCACTGTCATAGACACATTGCCACGTCAAGCCACTGCTTCTCGAGCTGTCAAATGACGAGTTCGCCTCCTCTCCTTTCGTTTGTGTCCCTCTCTAGGTCATGCTCCTCGGCCCAAACGCGGCCCTCCTTGACCCTTCCCTCGCCGCCGCCGCCGCCGTTGACGAGTACGGGTGGCGAGTGAGATCTTAGGCTTTTGAATCAAAGCTTGGGCCTCGAATCAGGGTCCAATTTGAGGTCTTTTAGGGCCCGCTTGGTAACGTGCCAAATAGTGAAAATTTCTGTTCTTTTGTTCCCAGAAATAGTTTGGGAACAGAAATGCGTTTAGTAAACTTTTTGTTCATGGGCACATTTTTGCAAAATTTGTGCCGAAAGCTTGATTTTGGAAGAGAAACAAGAAGTAAAAAAGTTGCTTCTTATTTCTCGCGACAATTTTGAGAATCGTTTTTTCTTTTTTTTTCTTTTCTTATTTTTGTCTTTGTTCTTCCGGTGGGCCGGCCAGCAGCGCGACGGCCATGGCCAAAGAAGAAAATGGGTAAAAAGAAAAAAAAAATTAAACAATTCAAAATATTATTAAAATATTATTTGGGAACATAAATATTGTGTAGTTACCAAACGCATTTATGTTCTTTTCTACTCTAGGAATAAAAATTTTGGACAGTTTATCAAACGCCTTAAAATACTCAGAAATTGTTTCCGAGCACAGAATAAAAAAAAATCATTTCTGTTCAGAAATGATTCCCGGGCACAGAATGGTATTCATGCGCACCCTTAGGGTCTGCATAGCAACGTTTCTGTTCCTAGAAACAATTTTTTATCAGAAATAGTTTTTTCTATTTCTATTTCTTGGAACAGTTTCTGACCAAAAAATAGCGTTTAGTAACTACACAAAATTTCTATTCCCGGAATAGAAAAAGAATAGAAAACGCGTTTAGGGTGCGAATGATCCATTTCTATTCCATGGACGAGTTTCTCCCTTCCGGGCTACCTCAGGCGAGAGGATGGCGGGTGGCGGTAGGGCGGTGGGGCGGTGGGGCGGAGGGCGGTGGTCGGCGGCGCAGAGGATGGCGGCCGGCGGTGGGAAGCAGTGGAGCACGGCGGTCGGTGGTGGAGCACGGTGGCATCGGGCGGTAAGCGGCAGACGGGGGCGGCGGCGGGAGGTGGCTGGCGGCGGAGGGTGGCCATCGTCGGTCGATGGAGTACGGCGGTCGGTGACGAAGGATGGCGGCCGATGGTGGGTGACCACGGCGTCAAAGGTGGCAAAGGCGGGAGGTGGCCCCGGCGAGGCGGCCATAGCCCGGGTGGTGGCCGCGTCGGGCGGTGGAGCACAATAGCGGGCGGCGGAGGATGGCGGCCCAGTCTTTGAGTGGCGGCGGCGGCCAAGGACGGCGGCAGGTGGTGGGTGATCGCCGGCGTTGGGTGGTTAGCGGAGGAGGCGGCCCGGCCCGGGTGGCCGGCAGCGTCGGGCGATGGAGCACGGCGGCCGGCGGTGGAGGGCGGCGGTCGGTGGCCGGTGGCGACAAGCGTCGGCGGTGGAGAACGATGGTCGACGACAAGAGGTGGCTCGCGGGCGGGAGCGGCCGCGAGTGTTGGCCCCGGGCGGGCGGCGGCGGCGGAAGCGGGCAGTAGGTGGCGACGAAGGACGGTGAGAGGCGGCGGTGGGCGGATTGCGGCCGATGGATTGTTTCTTATTTTTAGAGAATTATAGAAAAAAAATCGTTTCTTTTTTCTTGTTCCAAAACAAGAAGCAAATTTTTCTTCTTGTGTTTACGTTCCAAATCTATTTACGGAACACTTTTTGGAACGTAGAAACAAAAAATAGATTTTTTTTTCTTAACAGTTTCGCATTTTTTTGCATTAGGAAATAAAAAAAACAGAAAAATAAAGAAATAGAAACGTTACTAAACAGACCCTCAGTGCCGTATCTTTAGCGCATTTTGCGGCACTTTCACTTTTCGATGTTGCCCGTGCATTCATCCCCGAGAATACACTGTAGAAATGCCCAAGTGAAGTCCACCGAGGAGTAGAAGCACGACCAACAAATCAGTCAACAAGACAGCTGCCCCAAGGGGCGAGAGGGGAGCCGCCACAGACAAGACAACCCGAGCGATCGCGAGCGAAGACATGGCCATCGCCGCCGCCTCCGCCGCGGCGACTCTCCCTTCGAGCTCCGCTTCCCGCATCCTTTCGGCCCCCGCCAAGCCCTTCTTCTTCTTCTTCTTCTCTCCCTCCCCCGCTTCCTCCCCTCCTCAGTCCCGTCTCCTCCGCGCCAGAGCCCACCTCCGAGCCCCTCGGTTCTCGATCTCCGCCTCCGCCGCCGCCTCCATGAGCGTGCGGGCTCCGGAGAGGAGCTCGCCTCCGTCGTCCTTCCTCGACCGCCGGGAGAGCGGTTTCCTCCATTTCGTCAAGTACCACGGCCTCGGCAACGACTTCATCTTGGTAAGGGTTCTTCATTCGGTCTCTGTATCTCTTTCGGATGTTTGTCTTCTCGATTGTTCGAAAATGTCGGAATGTCGGAGACCCTTTGACTGTCTGATACGAGCCGGAGTCGTTTGTACGTTAGCTGGTTTCTTTAGAGGTTGGGAAATATAATCCAGAGGAACGCTTGTGCGGTACCGATCAAATTCAACACACAATGCGCGGACTTTCCTGTTTATGCACTGTAGTAGCAGTCCGATCAATCATATATTGAGTTTGGATTGCTCAAAATGTTTTCTTTGGAGGGTATTAGTATCATATTCCACATGCACTCTTCCTCTTTTTGTAGCATTGAGTAGGTATCCGTATTTTAGGTTGACAATAGGGACTCTTCGGAGCCTCGAGTTACTCCGGAGCAAGCGGTCAAGCTGTGCGATCGTAACTTTGGGATTGGTGCTGATGGAGTGATTTTCGCCATGCCTGGGATTAATGGCACGGACTACACTATGAGGATTTTCAATTCCGATGGCAGTGAGCCTGAGGTGATACTTTAGTCTTTTGTGCTTTGACAACTCATCATCCGGATAATTATTGGTTTTACATTCCCTTCGTCATATTTCTTCCAGATGTGTGGTAATGGAGTGCGATGCTTCGCACGATTCATTGCTGAGCTTGAAAATCTAAATGGAAGACAACGGTAATGGAAATTGCTTATTGTTCTGTGATAATCTAATGTACTGAAAGTAACTTTCAATAAGTCAATGAGATATGTAATTGTAAGTGAGAATCAGTTCTTACCAACGAATTGTGGATAAGGGTAAACATTCTCGGCTATGTTATTTTGGATGAACGTGATGGAACTTTCTCTGGTATTTCGATTTTTAACTCCTTTTGCTCCTTCATTGCATTTGGCAGTTTTACGGTACACACTGGTGCTGGTCTAATAGTTCCAGAGATTCAAGATGATGGGAAGGTATTTTACAGGACCAAAGTTTTCATGTGCTGCATTTTAGTACTTAATCGGCATTCTTTTCAACCGCTTTATATGTAATTGCTTTAAAAGGATCTGCAGAATGGTACGATGAAATACATAATGCAGTTAGATTCTGATCAACCAAGTTCCTGTTGCAACCGTCTGTTCTTTGTAAATTGTAATATATGATGAGTACCAGTTTGGTATTTGGTTTTTATGCGACCTTATAATCCCAGGTTACAGTTGATATGGGGGAACCAATACTCAAAGCTTCTGATGTGCCCACAAAGTTATTGCCAAACATAGACCGCTCTGTGGTTAAATCTGAACTAAAAGTCGATGGAGTAACCTGGAATGTGACATGTGTTAGCATGGGCAATCCCCACTGTGTCACCTTTGGTGCCAAAGGAGAACAGGTGATTTTTGTGGAAAATATATTATATTCCTCATTTTATAGGCAATATTCTCTGGCTTCAGATCTCAATTTGCAGTATAATAATTTCTGTGTGACACTTTTTGCTCACAAGAACTATGTGCTCGACTTCATTCCTTTGTCATCCATAGCTCATACTGGAATATGCTGTTGAGCAGAATTTGCAGGTTGACAAACTAAACTTGGCTGAAATAGGTCCAAAGTTTGAGCATCATGAGATGTTTCCAGCGAGAACGAACACTGGTTAGTCATTTATGGAACTGACAACTACATTTGCAGTTGCATGGAATTGCCCTTCTCCAACCCAGTTATACTTTGGTTTCCAGTCAGATCCATCTAACTAATGTTGTTGTTATCATCTCTTGTACCATCAGAATTAACGCTGCCAATGCCCTTAATATCTTTTGCAGTTGGTTGTACTATCATATTTGATAAGGACTAGAAGATTCTCGAGTGCTGTTATACTGTGACATATATGTTATCTGCACTTGCCACATTGCCCTTTGTTTATACGCTAGATTTCGCTGGGTTGTGGAAAGTTGGTGCCTTGTATATTTATCATAGCTTAAATACTGCGAACAACTTAACATTTGTGAGACGGCCAGTGCCATTTGTGGTCTGGTCGGATTCTTAAGTGAAATAATGAAAATTTCGTCAACATAGGTCTCATTTATTTTTATCCCTATGATGTTTGAGCCTCCATCGTTCTGCATGGGCATTTCAACATCAAATTAGTTTTCACATAATTGTGTCCGCAACTTTATTTTACGTGATGGCAATGAAAGAGGTAGATTTTATGGTTTTCCCCTTCCAATTGCTTTCTAAATTCAGGATTGGCTGTTTCTGTGCTTTTGTAGTACCTCCGTGCATATTCTGTTATTTTCCATATGGAGATGTGATTAATGAAAAAATGTATTTGATTGCAGAATTTGTGCAAGTTTTCTCTCCTTCGCACCTGAAAATGCGTGTTTGGGAACGTGGGGCTGGTTAGTGCCTATGGCAATCATTTTTAAGATCCACTCCATCATATGTAACAAGAGAATCATATCAATATGGTTAAGATGATTCTGCCCTCTTTCTTTCATTTCCTGAGCAAAATCTTATGTAAGAGTGCTTGGATGCAGGAGCAACCCTGGCTTGTGGTACAGGGGCATGTGCAGTGGTTGTTGCGGCAGTTCTTGAGGGACAAGCTGGGAGGGTAAGCTCCATTATTTAACTCTATAGTAGGACAATGCAGACATGCAATTCATCGAATTCCATATGTTTTGAATTTGATAAGATGATTGTTTTGTTGATCACGGATAGATCCAGTTGTTAGGGACAGAATTCTACATGAACTACAGAATATGTCCATTTAAAAGTGCTGAAAATCGTTTAATCCAATCCTAGTCTCTTAATTTAAAACTTTTCTTTAAAATCTGGACCCCGTCTTTATCATGGCTTCTTGGTAAAGTAAGCATTATCACGTGTAGAGATTACCTCAGTATCCCGACATTTACATATACACATCGTTGATGTTATAAAGTGAAATGACGATGGTGCATGCATCGGAGCTAAGTATCTGTATCATACGGATGTGTCTCAAGTTTATACTTCTCCCATCTCCCAAGAACAAAGATATTCTAGCAAACAAAGAGTATCTTTCTGTCTTTGCTAGTGCCTCACTTTGTTTTGTGCCGGCTTATTATGTTACAGAGTTGCACTGTAGATTTACCTGGAGGTCCACTGGAGATTGAATGGAGAGAGAAAGACAATCACATATACATGACTGGCCCAGCTGAGGCGGTCTTCTATGGATCCGTACCCATTTAGCACGAATTGAACTTTTGTACTTAACCAACTTTTATTTAACAAACTAGAATAATGGTCAAGTGCAAGTGTACGGGTGAAGAGTGTTTGGAGTGTGTCTGGATAGCTGGAGTCCTGTTTTATTCGAATTGAGTTGTCTGAGGTAATAGCGGAGGCGGTCTTTATGACCAATTTGTTGACCTAACTGGTTTGGTGATGAAGTGATCTCTTATGGTGAATTTAGTGATCAAGTTTGATCCTTGATGTGGTGGGTGCTGCATATCCAGACTAGTATAACCATTTCAGGTTTCCTTATCTGGATTTAGATGCCAAACTCTCGGTTACTTTCTTACTCCTTTTTCCCTTTCTCTAGTGAAAGAATCTCTGTACTTCGCACTAAACCTGATCGTTGAGTATACCTGTGAGAGAGGGAGAGAAGCAGAGATGTGTTACCCCTGCTCCAGACGGTGGCATTCGTGAAGGGAGATAGAAGCAAGTGTGGAATGGTGTTGTCCTTCGGCATTCGTCCAGGACCAAAAGAGTTGGCGGTAAGAGATTTAGATGTACACACGTTTTTCTGCCCTGTCGAGGCTGGGCTAGTTCACTCATAAATTTTATCAACGGTAACTTGAGGGATGGAATTTGTCTATCTACAAAACCATCTTATTTAGCTCTCTGTATTCGGGCATTATCGTCATAGGCTGACAGACCCAGGTATGTAGAATCTGATGGTCATTGGCCTAGTCTGAGTGTACAGTTCAACCCCGCCGCCGTCGTTCCTTGCCTTCGCATTGTTGTGTAATTAAGGAATCTATCACCATCATCGTGTGATCAAGCTCTCCCCACGGGGCGGGCGGCGGTCAATTGATTCGTGTATTGTTTACAGATAACTCTTACAACGTAATTTCATCTTACCTAACCCTCCTGTGTAATAGCTGCGGTAGTACGGCTAATCATAGACCGCAATAGCTGTTCCCATGATATTTTTTTTTTGTTATATCAATCGCTTTACCAATGTTAAATAATAAGTTCTTATTGAAATTTTTAAGAAACTTAACTTAAATTTATTTGTATTATCTATATAATGAGAACACTAGTTATAATTATTTTGACAAATCACGTATTATTTGACTGAATATCATAATTAGCATAATATCAGTTGCTTACAATTATTTGTAATTATCTAAATTTGGATAATTTAATGTCAAATAATTTAAAATTGATGATTAGCTTAATGACTATTTATTTTTAATAATGCTCAGAATGTCATATATATTATTTTAATCACACAGTTAATTATGGAACAAATAATGCTTACGATGATATTATTACATGTTATATGACGAAATCTACCGAGTAATCATACACTAATTATTATATAATAGATAAAAGCTTGGACATTAAATTGTAACATCTTCATATTGTATACGAGGTGTTACACTCATCATTGCTACTAAGCGAAGATCCTTGCGCTCCCACTGACAACAATCGAGCGAGGTTAGGCATGTTCATGATCACCACTATCAAGCGAGAGTCGACCGACTCTTGTGAGGGCTCTAGATCTAACTGTGGGAAAACGGGCCATTACTCTATTAATGACGAGGGTTGCTCCTCCGCCGCAACCCCCCTCTCTCTCTCTTGATGCTATTGTTTCTATTTAAGATTATTTTAAAAAAATTTGGCGACATGACTATATATTCATGACATCAAACACGTGCGGCGTGCCCCATGGCTGAGTTGAATTGCCGCTAGCTAGAAGGACCAAAGGAGTTCGGCACCAAAAAAAAATTCAAGGACCAGGTTGATTAAAATTAAAAGCTCAGATGCCCCAATTCAACATTTCACAGCAGTTCGAGGACCAGTTTTTAAATTTTCCCCAACAAACATAGATAGACCTCGAAAATAAAAAAATAAAAATAAAAAAAATAAAAAAAGCAGAAGAAAGAAAGCACGAGCCGCATTTGAAATTTCTGACGTGGGACCCACCCAACACCGAGGAGGAGGAGGAGGAGGAGGAGGAGCCGAAACATCACCTACGGGGCCTCATACGTGTCGCGTCCTACGTTATTACCGTCGACTAGCCGTTTGGAAAATCAAACCCACTCTTGACTTCTCCGCCTTCCTTCCCCCACCCCCCCACCACCACTTCAAAAAAATTTCCACAACCACAATTCTGCACAGACCTCAATCAAGAATCCTCTCTCTCTCTCTCTCTCTGGATTCCACCTCCGCTCTCCAAGTTCCTAACCGCGAATCCATCGCCTTAGACCCCTGAAGATCTCTGTAAGTGCAATCACTCCCGCGTCCCTTTCTTCAATGTGGAACCTTGGATCTTGCTAGCTGTTGCAATCCGATGGGAACTGAACTGCGGAACAACGCAAAAGAGGGGGGGAGAAAAATGTTGTTTTATGCGCATCGTTTCCTTTGTCTCTCCCCTTTATTCGAGAGAGATTTTCGTGCCTTGGAGGGCCCCGCCCGACCCCAAGCGAACATCGAGCGCTTTGCATTGGGAATATACGTGAATTCTGTCTGCTTGTGTTGTGTCCATCTCCTCCCTGTTTTTGATGGCGTATCGTTCTTTTTCCCCTCTTTTTTTTTTTTCCTTCTCTTTGGAGCCGTGCAGGTGGGAGAGAGGGAGTGGCGGAATGATGTCGCTCACCCCGGATCAGTTTAGAAAGGTCGGGTTGGGCGTGGTTCCGTCTCCGTCCCCGTTCCTCACGCCTCGGCCGGAGAAGCGGCGGGCGGACTGCAGAGGCGGCGAATTATGGAGCTCGAACCGGCACGAGAAAGATAAGGAGGTCAACGTGCAGGTTCTGCTGCGGTGCAGGTGGGCATTAGCAGCACTTCGTGCTTACTCAAAGTCGTCTCCTTTTACCCCCCTTAGGTTTGGTGAAATTGTGCTATGTCGGTCGACTCTGCTCATCTGTAACGTAAGGTAGATAGTCAAAGGCGTTGACGAGAATATTCGTGGATGGAGAATATGATTATTGAAATGGAAGGAGTTCTTCACGATTGATTTTGAATGAATTGGAAATACTTTAGGTAATAACTCTGCAGCTACCCAAAAGCTAAGCAACAACAAAGTGGGATTTTACCATTTGAATTCTTAAATGTGTTTCCAATTACATAATTCCTTAAATGCCGCTTCTGGGATGGGCATTCTAAGTTTAGAGCTCGTTTGTCTAATTTTATCTGTCAGGCCATTAAACGAAGACGAGCAAAGGTTGAATGTGCAAAAGGTCATCTCGTGCAATGAACACAGAAGAGAGGTCAATGTCATGCAGAATTTAGCCAACAAGCAAATAGATAGGATTTTCACTTTCGACAAGGTATGCTGACATGATTTCAGCTGTGAAGAAAGATTTCTCAAATAATTACTAGCTGACCTAGATTTTATCTGGCAAATTTGCAAGGTTTTTGGGCCTAAAGCACAACAAAGATCAATATATGATCAAGCCGTTGCTCCCATTGTTAATGAAGTTCTCGATGGTTTTAACTGCACCATTTTCGCCTATGGGCAAACAGGCACCGGTAAAACCTACACAATGGAGGGCGGGATGAGAAAAAAGGTAAAATAGCAAATTGCATAATTTCATAAATATTTTACATTGGTTGATGTCGTTTTTATGGAACATAGGTTGGTGAACTGCCCGCTGAGGCCGGCGTCATTCCACGAGCAGTTCGTCAAATTTTCGATACACTAGAAGCACAAAATGCTGACTATAGTATGAAGGTGACTTTTTTAGAACTCTACAATGAAGAGATAACCGATTTACTAGCCTCCGAGGACTCCTCACGCTATATGGAAGATAGACAGAAGAAGCCAATATCACTGATGGAGGATGGAAAGGGTTGTGTGGTTGTAAGGGGCCTCGAGGAAGTAGCAGTATATAGCGCAAATGAAATCTACACTCTGTTAGAACAAGGAGCATCGAAAAGGCGAACGGCTGATACCTTGTTGAACAAGCGTAGTAGGTAATTATTCTTCTTTGCTGAACTTTTAAGGGTGTCTAACGTAATGGAAACTACAAAGCTAGTCCTTTTATAACCTTAAGCATTTAGTGGTTACACTTTTCAATGATATTATCCTTGCTGCAGTCGGTCTCATTCCATCTTTTCCATTACGACCTACATAAAGGAAGCCACAGTTGGAGATGAAGAGCTCATAAAATGTGGCAAGCTTAACCTTGTAGATTTGGCAGGATCAGAAAACATTTCTCGATCAGGAGCAAGGGAGGTATGATATCTCTGATCTCTGCTATCAAAAGCATTTTTTCACAATCTCTTTCTGTCTATCCCTGTCTCTGTCTCTCTGTCTGTCTCGCAATTGCATGTACAAGCATGCTGAGCGAGAACCAAAAACTATGTTAATAATATCTGAAGTCCTTGCAAAACCTAGTAATGAGGCAAGCCTAAATTGTTAACATATGTACACCAGCAAATAGTTATATAATGATGTCTGCTGACCTAGAGTGTACCGTGAAGCTGCAATTATTTACAATCAATTTCTTCTTATTGACAGATAAAAATATAAAAGCCCTAAAATTTTATGATCCGAATATGTTTTTCTTGGATATATTACATGCAAGACCTTTTGCATCAGCATGCTTGCTAATTATCTAAAGTGATGTGAGCAAAAATGGAATTGCACAATTTGTGTTGGAGAATACTCTATATTTCTCTAATTTTGCATCAAAATTTGCAATATCAGTTAATGGGTGCATAAAAATTCCAGGGTCGTGCAAAAGAAGCTGGAGAAATAAACAAGAGCTTACTTACCTTGGGCCGTGTGATAAATGCACTTGTGGAGCATTCTCCTCATATACCTTACAGGTTTTTTCTCAGACGATATCCAATGCAGTATGCTTGACATTGAGCTCTTCATAATTTCTCATAATGGGTTTTCCATGTCTGACAATTTTATGAGCAGGGATAGTAAGCTGACAAGACTTCTAAGAGATTCTTTGGGAGGGAAGACCAAAACATGCATTATTGCTACTGTTTCTCCTTCTGCTCATTGCTTGGAAGAAACATTAAGCACACTCGATTATGCTTATCGTGCTAAAAACATTAAAAATAAACCAGAGGTTTGGTCTATTGCTGTTTTAGTGTATTTGAGTTTCCTCATGTGCTTTCCTAGTAATATTTACATGGAGTAGCTTTGCAGGCGAACCAGAAAGTGTCAAAAGCTGTGTTGCTTAAGGATTTGTATGCAGAAATTGAGAGGATGAGAGAAGGTTTGACAATGTGTCCTCACTGTCTCGATTGTTACATAAACAAATAACATAGTATTTAACATATATATGTCATCACAGATATCCGAGCTGCAAGGGAAAAGAATGGTGTTTATATTTCCCATGAAAGATTTGCCCAAGAAGAGGCTGAGAAGAAGGTAAGTCCAAACAGTTTCATGGAGTGCTCTGATCTTTATATAAAACTCCCGACTCCTGGATCAAATCCTTTTCTCCTTGGAAATCATTGGATTACATTCATCTGCAGGCAAGGAATGAAAGGATAGAGGAATTGGAAAGTGATCTTATCCGTTCTGAGAAGGTATTAGCTTGCTTTTCTTTGGGACCTTTCTCTTACCGATGCGATATTTGATCAGCTGATTATTTCCATTTGGCCAGCAAAGTGAAAAATTTCGCAAGCTCTATCTTACAGAGCAGGAACAGAAATTGGACCTCGAAAGTAGTCTTAAGAACTGCAAGGTACAGGTTATGGACTTCACATCATTAACCATTTGTTCAAAGGGTGAAAATATTGCATCTGCAGCAATAAAAAATGATGTCTTCTACAGATTGACCTGGAGACCAGTCATAAGGCATTGCTTGATCTTCAAGAGCAACACCGGTTGGCTCTCTCCACATTGAAGAATAAGGAATTTGTAATCTCAAAGCTGCTACAATCAGGTAATATTTTGTCATGAGAAGTTGACTTAAGTTAGTTATACCGTTTTTGTCAATTTATTTTACTCATACAGACTTACAATCTTTCTGATGTTATACAGAAAGTTCCATAATTGATCGTGCAAAGGAGTTAAGATCAGATTTGCAAGATGCATCTCAGGATTTAAGTTTGTTGTTCAGGAAATTAGGTACCGCTTCTTTTTGTGGTTTTAAAGTTGCATATTCTATACTATTAGCTGAAACAGTGAGGAGACTGCTATAACTTTTTGAGTTTGAGGTGGTTTCGTCTGAGGAGTATATATTTTATCGTGAAAACAGAGTAATATTACAAGTTCTGCATGGTTCACTATCTATTTGCTCCACCAAAGTACCTATTTCCTGGTTGATGACTTGAGAATTTTCTCTAGAGTAAATTTATGAGTGACTCCACAAAGACTACCATTGAGGATCTAATATTATCTTCCACTATGCAGACTACAAAAGCAGGATGGAAGCAGAGAACCATGATATTGTCTTGACGTTTGGCTCTCAACTTGATCAAAGCTTGAAAAACTTGCATAGGACTATCCTGGGCTCAGTTTCTCAACAACAGCAAGAAATAAGATGCATGGAAGAACATGTCTCCTTGTTTCTTGCAAGTAAAAATGATGTGAGACGACTGCTTGCTTTAAATAATTACATGCTTGTCTCATACTAGTTCTAATGAATAGTTTTATCAAACATGCCAGGCAACAGAGAGTCTGCGTTTGAAGGTTGAAAAGATGACGACGACGCATAGTTTAGGACTGTCTGCATTGACTGATTATGCCAATAAACTACAGATGAAAGCCGCCTCTGACCATGATCAAATAAATTGTAAAATAGCATCAGAGACAAAGGGCATTCAGGAAGTATGAACTTAGAAGTCCATTCTTCCTTTGAACTTTTGTTTGCTGCTCTCATTGAACCAAATTCTGTGCTGTTTTTGCAGTATATAGTCAAGTTAGTATTGGAGGCCAAGGAGATCATCAGAGACATCCATCATGCTCTTACTGAACAGAAAGAAATACTGGCATTTTCTGCACAGCGACAGGAAGAGGTAAAGTACCTTCTTCTTCTTCTCATGTCCGGGTCCGGTTTTATCTGCTCATTGATTGGTCTATGTGACCCTGTGACCTATACTTAAAATGTGTCGAATCTTTACTTCATCATGATTGAAATAACAGGGATTAATTCACCATGATTGAAATAATAGGGATTACGAAGAAGTTTGGTATCTGCGCACGTAGTATCCAAGGCAACCATGGACTTTTTCGGTGATGTTCACAGTCATGCTACTGAAATCAAGTCAATCATTGAAGAATGCCATGCTGAAAGGATCTGCCAACTGAATGATTTTGAGAAGAAATTTAAGGTCAGATAAGATACTTCAGATAGATCTGCATTTTATAATTGAGCCTCGTGGAAGCTTTGAGCTTATGGATTGTCTTGAAACAGGAAGAGGCAGCGCGAGAGGAAAGACTGGCTTTGGAGCAAGTTGCCGCAATTTTGGCAAATTTGACATCTAAGAAAAATAAAATGGTGGGGCGTTTTCTCAGAATGTTGTGCTTTCTGCTATTAAAGCCACACACCCACGAGTCATTTATGGATAAGAAGGGTCTTAGTAAATTTCGTGGCAGTTTTTTGTTGTGCTTTTGACATCTTTCCTGATCATCAGGTCTCAGAGGCATCAAACGGTATAATCGACTTAAATACAAGGGAAGAGCAGAGATTGCATCATCAAACTACCAACATGCAGCATATTGCAGCTGATGCTAGGAAAGAGTTGACTAAATACATAGTAGAGGCAGAAAACAATTTCTTGGAAGATACATTTTCGGTGGGTGAGTCCAGGGCTGTATTGGACAGCTGCTTTGAAGAGTGGTATGGTTTTAATATACCTGAAGTGTATTTGGAAACCTATTTGAGCTATCATACATGAAATACAGCACGTCATATTTAAGCTAGTATCTGTTGAATCACTATACAAAATATGTGGTTTCTCTTAGCATTAAATTTATTAAATTACAATCTGTTTGCTTAAAAACACTTCTTTCCTATCTAGAAGTGGATAGCCTCGCCAGACAGACAACTCGAGAGAATGAATAAAGTCTTACCTTGTAGCCCGGCACGGACTACTGAAAGTGTGGGATCTAAAACATAAATAAAAAATTAATTGTCAGAACATTGGCCTTCTTATGATATACGAAATTGAATTAGCGGGAAACAGATGTAAGTTAATTTAGCTACCCTATGTACATCACACATCATCCTTTTCTCTTTTTGTGTAATGCAGTTCAAAGGTTGTGGATAATTCCAGGAGACAATGGGAGAATGCTGCATCTGCCATAAACGAGTTCAAGAATGTTAGTATAGACAAGATAGCATCTCTTGTGAGGTAAAATCCTCTCTATCATGAACTGTTTCTTCGCATTTCTTTGTTCTTTTTCTCATAATGCGACTCCTCAATGGCTTAAGCAGGGAAAATATAGGCGAAAACCAGGATTTATGTGAACGATTTAGATCTGCATCTTCCTCCACGGATAGAGATTTTGCTTCTAGAGTTGGTGATATGGTCACTGCTATTTGTGGTAACAATCTTCATTTAGCCGTTGATGTCGATGTCTTCTCTATGTACTATTCTCATGCCTTGGTCGATTGGGCGTGGCAGATTCACTACAATTGGATCGTGACTATAAGGAGAAATTAGACTCCACGGCAGCCTCATGCATGGGTCAGCTAAAGTCGATTGCAGAGAAGCATGGAGTGGGCGTTTCGGAAATCCGAAGCAAAGCAGAACAGTGCCTCACAAAAGATTATCTGGTAAACTGTCTATCTACTGCAACTGCCAAATTGCTTCTTCGAGGTGCGTTGTCGAAATAGACGTATATCACGACATGACTAATTCGTGGCACACTGCGCATAGGTTGATGAGCCCACGTCCACAACCCCTAGGAGACGGGTCAAAACGGTTCCAAGTTTAGCGTCCATTGAGGAGATGCGGACGCAGTTGAGCGAAGGAAATTCGGAGAACGAAATCAGAGGCGACCGGACAGAAGGCAAGCTCCACCAGCCAATAGATTTACAGCCGCCCGATAGACCTCCTTTTGCAGATATGAATGGTGAGTTGTACTGAGGAAGGCGGTTTTAGCAGACTGTGATCCGGCATGCTTGTTCAAGTGTCAAAGAGGCAAAACTTGCGCTCATTGACTGATGAGCAGCAACACTAGATTGAGTCCTAACAGCAAGTACTAGCTAGCTATGGAAAGTTTCTCCTCTTCTCTCTTCGGACAAGTCATTTGTAAGTAAGTATTGTAACAACTTGTTCAATGATTCCATGGAAATGATTAAAGCATCCATGGTGATCAGCAATGCACTTTAGTGGCTTTAAACTCCATGACCGCCTTCATAATTGCAACACATGTTTACCGAGAAGTCGTACCGGCGAATGTGCGTACGATGCGCGGATGATTGTCGTGTGCCTCAGCGCGGATTTTCCCCTCGCTAGCTCAACAACTCGGGCGTCGGTGGGACCATCATTCATTCAAATTTCTGCCCGTCTGTGCCTCCTTTTAAGGCATGTCGACGACCACAGCGACTCCATGGGACCATGGCGAGGACCACTTAAGATGATTCCATGGTCTTCCACATAGCCCCTCTTAATAAATCGAGAAATCCGCAAAATAGAGAGAAGATAACGGGCCCTACGTGGGCCCAATTTTATGGGCCCAGCGCGGCCCACCAATGCCACCGAGGAGCTGGCTCTCGAGCAGGATTAGGTTTCACCCACGTGTACGGCGGTGATGATGTCTCCACGAACCCTGATCGTGCAGGGCACCATCTGGCATCATTTTTCCTTCCTCCCCTCCCCCACCTCGACGAGAAAAAAAGAAAACCTGAAAAAATCCATCCCTTCCTCTCTCTCTCTCTCTCTCTCTCCTCAGTTTCGTGAGAATCTTCAGATCTCGCCGCGATCCGCGTCCCGTACGGTCGCCGGCGCGTTCTCCGATCGCGCCTCCCGTCTCGTGCCTCTTCTCCGTCATGGTAGGTGGGAGATGCGGAATGCTGTATTCGATTGTTTTTCTCCTTCCTGTTCTTGTGAAGTTCTTTTGAAGTGCATATACCTATTCCCATGGCGTTTCGTAGCATCTCTCGCTAGATTGCTCCGCGGGGGAATGAGTGCGATGATGGGCGAAAGTGTAGGGTCGCGCGAGCTAGAGTCTCGCGAACGAGTGTTCCTTCGGATCAGGAATCCGACTGCCCTCTTCTTTGCATGCCGCGGTTGCGCAATCGAACAGCGAAATCGCGCGCGCGGTTCGCGACACTTTTCGAGGTTGGTTCCTGCGGAAACCTGACCGGGGTTGTTGCTTTCTTCGTGGCAGGGATGTGTGTGGACTGGCTCCGACTCGGAAGCGCTTGTTGAGGGCGTGTCTGGGGTTGGAATCGAGTAGTTTGTGCCCAGGGCAAGTGCGTCGCGGATGAGAATTTGTGGGTTTCGAGCGCTTTGCCTGTTGGTTTGACCTTTTCCGGCTTATGAGAAGTGCAAACAGCGGAATTAGAGACTATCGTGTGCTGTACTGAGAGAGATGGTATGCTTCGTTTCGTATGTGGTTTTTGTCAGGTTGAGGTTTTATTGAGGGGTACATGCCGTTTTGTGATCTTTGTGCATTTTTGGGACTGAGCTTGGAGCTTAGATACACTCTACTGGCTTTCATGTTCCTTTTGTGCCATTGCATGGGAAGGACCTAATGTTATACCGATCGATATTTTTGAGTGTTTGTTCTTGTATGAGCTCTTGAGAGCTGCTACATTGGTTTTGTGTTTGGGGAACTTGTTTATCCCTGCACATTGTAGCATGTTTTTGGAAATTTTACCTATGTGCACCATGAATTGCTTGTGGACACTGAAAGGAGTTACCCCATATTGCTACTAAGAAGTTTGTAGTGCTTGAACGAAAAATATTTGCCCTATGAACATGTTATTTTGAAGCACTTTTAAACGATCTGCTGTCAGATTACTTTATGCATTTTGCATTGCCTAAGGATTCTGTTCTTTCTTGTTTCGACTAATACTACGTATTTGGCTCTTTCTGATAACTTCTTGATGGTTTAAGGATTGTTTGATTGATTGAAAGAGTCATTTTGCATCGTCTAAGTATTCTATTCTTTCTTGTTTCGACTAATACCATGTAGTTGGCTCTTCTGATAACTTCTTGATGGTGTAAGGATTGTTTGATTGATTCAAGGAGTCAAAACTGAACAATTTGTCACCAGGAATAATTAAGATGAAGCAATTTCTTTCAACTAGCGATTAAGCAGAGACTCGTAAACAATATTAAGAAGCACCATGGAAGCTCTACATTTTGCATTAAATATAGTGATTTTGATGGTTGTGTCTTGCTTGATGTTAATATGGAAATGCTTTGTGCACTTTGGAAAGAATCTAATGAGTAGGGGTGGTGTCTTGGTGGTAAAACTGCGCTTACATTTTGTGAAGGATGACTTGTATGTCTTCTGTCTATACTGAAATACAAGATTCTAAGCCATCTCTTTGGGTATTCTTTTCAGAATCAGGGCTTTTGGACTGGAAAAGATGCTAGTGGCTTAACAAACAGTGAGATGGCTTACGATAATACTCCTAGAATAGAAGCCAAGTGGTCGCAACAGTGGTTCATGGATGGCCCTGAGACTGAGCATCCCAGCAAGAAACAGGCCATAGAAGTTCCAAGCAACACTTCCTTTTTAGGACTGTTGAGCATGAACTCATCTCCATGGGGCTTTTCTTCTGGTTTTCACACAGTTTCTGCCCCTGCCCAATTTTCTGAGCAAGTACTTGATACTGAAACTACTGGAGCTGTCAAGTATAATGAGAGATGCACTCCATCTATTGGTGCGGAAAAATTGAATATTGGGAGAAAAATGGATGAAGACCTTTATCCTAGTAATTCCTCATTCGGCTTGTCAATGTCTCATGTGCCAGAAGTTCCTGGATCAGGGCTTAATTATGGCGGTCTGAGAAAAGTTAAAGTGAACCATGTTAAGGACTCTGACAATGTGACTCCATTATCAATGGGACATGGCTACAATAGGGTGGCTTCCGGTGCCATGTTTGCAGCTCAATCTTTCTGTAAGGAAGAAGAAGATCCTGTTTCAACTGCTCTTGCTTCTGGTATTGGAGATGGCAACATCATATCTTCAGCCACTAGTGACCTGGGTGAAAGCAACAGTGTCATGTCAATCGGGAAACTGTATGAAAATGAAGGTGAGAGTGCTGGACAGGCGTACAAAGGGCATGGTGATGCCATGTCTATTCATGCAGATAACAATGTTTTGTCTATGGGTCAAAGCTACAAGGCAGATGATTGTTCCATGTCAATGGGCCATATTTATGGCAAAGGGCATCACATCTCTGTTCCAGCAGGTAACATCTACAATAATGACGACAGCAGTAGTTTATCCATGTGTCACTCCTATGGTTTAGGGCAAAGCACAATCATATCCTTTGGCAGCCCTGACAATGATGATGCGAATTCCTCAAGGAGGCTTATATACAGTAACAATTTGTTCTGTGGTCTGCCTTCTGTTCAAACGTCAGATGCAGTCAATAGCAATCAGTTAATTAAGTCAAATGGCGATATTTTTCCTAGTTCTACTTCGGTTGTTGCCTCTGGAATTGAAAATTTATCGCGGAAGAAAGAGGAGCAAAACACTTCTAAGAAAGGTTCAAACAACTTCCCCTCAAATGTCAGAAGCTTGCTATCAACTGGCATTTTAGATGGGATATCTGTGAAGTATGCTGCGTGGTCACGAGAGGTAATGTCACTTTAGATGTGTTCACAAATTTTAGACAGTTTCATCTTACAGTGATGTGGAGCTGGTTCTTTGTTTAGAAGGAGCTCCGTGGTGTGATTAGAGGTTCTGGATATTTATGCGGCTGTCAGTCATGTAATTTCGCGAAGGTAAGTGCATTTCTGGACTTGTATCTGGTCGAACTGCTTCTATGTAATTTAATCTACTGATTGAACCGGATGAAATGGACTGTTAGGTAATTAACGCGTATGAATTTGAACGACATGCTGGCTGCAAGACCAAACACCCGAATAACCACATATACTTCGACAATGGAAAGACCATCTATGGGATTGTTCAGGAACTCAGGAGCACACCCCAAAATATGTTGTTTGAAGTCATGCAAACTATTACTGGTTCCCCAATCAATCAAAAATCCTTCCGTCTCTGGAAAGGTAATGCTAACTTCCTTCTCTGATCAATGACTTTGCTTTAGCATGATGAACTTTGAAGAATCATATGAATTGTTGTTATCGTCCAATTTTACTGGCATCTTGCACAGTCTTCTCAAAACGCTCAATTTGCTCTTTTCAGAGTCATATTTAGCTGCAACCCGAGAACTTCAGCGTATATATGGGGAGGATTAAGGGAAGCAATTGTCATAAGCTCTACCTTGTCTAAACTATTATGTAGGTATCATCGTGATGTTGTTTTCCATATTTAATTCTACTCGTTAGGAATTGTGTCAGTTAATCTGATGGTGATGTTTTTCCTGGATTGAGGAACCCTTTTCCTTCTGCGGGGAAGTATGCTTGAGGCGGTACTGATCAGGGTGTGGTTCTCGAAGCCCCTTTTTGTAACAACTTTTTGTCCACTAAACAAGAGTTGTGATTTGCTCGCACTGAGTCCTTCAGTTTGCAAGGGCAGTTTTACCTGGATAAGTGTCTGCTAAACTTATCCAACCATGACAGCCACATCTAGAAGTTCCACCAATTGTCATGATTTGGTTTTATTCAGCTTTCTGGGGTTAACTTATGGCCGACCCTAGGCAATGGAAAGGAAAGTTTTGCTCATGCAGCTCTCATGGTTGATGTTCAGTGCGGGAAAGTCAGCATGGCATTGGAATGTCGAAAACATTCTGAGATCAAATGAATTCTTCTCTACTTTCCCTACAGTTGTTGAGGTTAACAGGTGAGACTCATTGGTTATGAAAACCATTTTGATTACATTGCCTCTGCATCTGCATCTACGGGAGCAGTGCTTTAATATGGCACTTAGGTTGGTTGCACTGGGAGTTGTAGTTATACTTCACCATGCACAACTAGATAGTGAATTTCAAGAATGAGGATCACTTGCTGATAATATCCCGACAAAAACTATTTACATTTTGTAACAGCGAGGATGCACATTAGGGGTGAATCGGTCATTTATGTTTGGATTGACTCGAATAAGCGAGTCGAATTAAGTCAACGCCTTGCCTTGTAAGAGACTCATCAGTTCTTTCACTGTGCGGATGTGTTTCGTTTTGTCACTCTGGAGGATTACTCTCTGCTCTTCGTTCATCACTCTTGATGGAAGTACAAGTATGATGTATTCAAGTAAGACGCTTGGTTGCTTTTTAGTTTGTTTTGCGAACGACTTCATTATAGAAGGGAATATTTCTTTGAAAATCGTTTCTGGAAAAAATGGTTGTTTTCCCCTTGCTTGAGAGAGAGAGAGAGAGAGCTCAAACGTATGAAATCTGTCAGCTTTAGAAGAATAGCGGCAGTCCTCACTCCCCAGTTAAGAGATTAGTGCAAAATAGCTCTTATTTTGGAACGTGATTTATTTTCTCAATTGGGGCTTTTCAGCTGACCTCATTCATTTTCCGTGTGCGAAACATCCGAAATCATCAAAAATATTTTGCAGAAAAGTACTTTCAATTGAAATGCATTCTCAATTGGGGCTTTTGATTGGTTGCACCCTGTTTAGAAAGACTGGTCGAACCACCCGAGCTTTGAAAAGGGCTCGAGGAAGATAGAAAACGGTAATCATTCATTCAAAGAATTCTCTCACGTCTCCAGTAGAGCTCCATCTCTTGCTAAGGGCTAGCTAATTTTTAAATCCTAAATCCTAGCTTTTACCGTAGCTGCCTTTCGCCGCTCTCATCCTTCTTGCTCCCGTGCTTGTTGATCATGCTCTCTGTGATGGACAAAGGACTTGCTGCTGATGCCAGAGTCGCGGCTCTATGCCGCAAGCCGGGTTCTCAGCCGTTGATGTTGCTGATGGCCTCATTTCAGCTGACAAACTGAGGGAATGTAGCCTCACCTTATTTGGGAAATTTCAGCCGAATCTTCTTTATTAATGTGCAAGCGTTTCGGAGCACAATGAGGAAAGCTTGGAGGGTCGATGAGGTAACCTTTACTTCAGTTGATCAGGGACTGTTCGCCATAACTTTCCTATCTGAAAGCAACAAAAACGTAGTATTAGATCAAGGACCTTGGTCCTTTGCAAATAACATCTTCTATTAAAGACTTAGGAACCCCATAAAACCCCCGAATGCCACTCTTTTGCCATTGTGCTTTTTGGGTACAAATTCATGGCCTTTCCTATGAATGCTTCTCGGAGGAGGCGGTTCAACGAGTAGCTGATAAAATAGGGCCAGTCTTGGATGTTGGTATGGAATCAAAAGGATTAACATGAAAAAAGTATGGAAGAGCTAGAATAAATCTCTCGGGCTTTTCACCTTTTGAAACCGGGAGTTTAAACGACTTATGATGGAGATCCTTCGCGGTTCGATACCTATTATGAACACCGGCTGCATTTTTGTTTTTCGTGTGGGAGAATCGAATATTATGCAAGGTGGTGTGAGGAAGTTACTTTAGGGAGGAATAGATGCAAACAATTGCACAAAGGGTCCTTGGGTTGGGGCCGAAGTTGAGGAGTTAAGCCCTTGTTGGAATATATTCTATGGATAGGACAAACCAATATGTGAAGAAACTGAGGTAGTACCACAAACACCATGACACCAGATGCAAGTTGTCCCTTATAAAGAAAAAGAGCTAGTGGAAATTGTACACCGCACAGATTCATCCACAACCAGAAACAGCTCGAGCTGTTCTGGCAGAGAGAAAAGGGCTGCACTGATCCGCTCATTGCTAGAGGAACTGAAGTGTCTTCTAAAAGAGGGGAATTTAAGTATGTACAAATCGAACCTGGGAGCTTCTCTCATATCCTGAACTGGAAAACGTAACAGAGCTCACCAACTATCCCCAAATCAGTTGTGAGTCAAGAAAGCTGGCCGAGATTGTAAAATTCTGACTTCAAAGAAGAAAAAGAGGTTCGAACCTTATGAAATTAACTCGAACCTCAATTACTTGAAACTCTTGTTCAGATAAGCACTGCTTCGACTGGATGGGCTGAGGCAGCTAGTCCTAATAACAAGCTAGAATTGTCGAGGGCTGGTTACCCCCGACGATTCAAGAGCCACGCGGTTGGCCCAACTTACCGTTCTTGATGGAAACTAAGAATCAGCCACCACATTTTGAATGTCTAAGGAGGAGGCTTCCATTTCCAGAATTGAAGTTGTGGCGCGATAGAGTGACTTCTATACATGCCCCATCCGCATTGCAAGAAAGAATGGTTGCGTGAGATCTAATTCAGAGCATTAGCCTGTCAAATACTTTGTCGGGGCCTTGCACTGGGGACTTCAATGAAGCATTCCATCATTGGAAGAAGGAAGGTACTCGGCTATCTCAGAACTCCAAACTACAATCCTTCTAGGAATTTGTTAATAACTGCATGTTAATGGATAAGGAGCGCAAAGGATGCACCTTTGGATCGTCGAATAGATGTGATGGAAATGCTTTTGTAAGAAGGATAATCGGTTGTGTCCTTATTAATCTTCATTTCCAACTTCAGAATTTGCTCTTTCTGCGGTAGGATCGGATCATAGCCCAATTGTGTTATTTTTGGTGCCAAAACCCCCAAAATGAGAAAAGGAATTCAAATTCGAAGCATCCCGGATGTCCGGCGAAGACTGGCTTAATCTAATACAAGAAGTTTGCAATTCCCCTTCACCGAGAGATAGTCACTTGATAGACGGATTAGAACCTGTATCTAAAGCCCTCGCAACCTGAAGCAGCAGAAAATTTTCCAACTCAAGATAGAGAGTTGACGGTCATAAAAAGAGAGTTGGCAGAGATGGTAAATAGGAGAGGTACACCCTTCGAGAAGGAGAAGGAACAGGTAATCTATGGAGAAATTCAAAGTTTTTTAAGGCAAGAGGAGTGTAGTGGGTAGTGGATTGCAGCTGAATTGGCTCCGATATGGGGGCAAGAACACCAAGTTCTTCCACCCCACTACCGTACAACGAAGGTAAATATGGGGGCAAGAGGAGTGTAGTGGGTAGTGGATTGCAGCTGAATTGGCTCCGATATGGGGGCAAGAACACCAAGTTCTTCCACCCCACTGCCGTACAACGAAGGTAAATATCTATGACGAAACGAAATGATGAATCGTTGTGTAGAGATTCAACCGAAGAAGACGGGTATGATAAGGTGAATCTCCGATGCACAGTTCCTTTCATCAGATTAAAAAATCAAGTGTTGTAGAGATCTATTCGAAAATTTCAGCGCATTTTGACAACAAACAAACGCGTGCTCACCGTTTTCGCGCAACTGCACGTTGGGCTCCATGTTCTGATTGAGCAATCTGACCCGTTCAGTTTTTTCCTTCGAAGACCTATTTCTAGAAATTTCTTTACCGTCTCCATTGGACAAACTAAATATTGATGTTTAATCGTGCTCTCCACAAAATTTAAGCATGACCCGATGGTAGATTACTGTGCACTCAACTATTTCGAAAGCTGCGCACCGGAGTCTCTTGTTGGCCGAGACCGAATATGAGCATCTGTGAGTGTGCGTGACGAATCTTGACCCTTGAATATTTTGTCTTGGCATTTAACCTACCTCAAAAAAATAAGCTTTGGAAATCCTATATCTAATCTAAGTCCAAATTAGAAATTTAGATGGAAAAACTCCTTAAACCTTAGTCAACTACCTTCTAGAAGACTTGTATAGCACATGCATGGCGCATGTATGTTAAATGGATGGCACACACATGACACATGCACGGCAAGTGCATGTATGGCATACGCATGACACAAGAAAATTTCGGCAAGGTCAAGGAAAAGAGTGTGGCCGAACTGCCTAGTGGGGCTGGGCTCAAATTGTTGGGGCTAACAATACAGCTAGAGGTGGATGGTCGAACTGCCTAATGGGCCTGGGCTCAAATTGTTGAGGCTAACAATACAGCTAGAGGGGGATGGTCGAACTGCCTAGTGGGGCTGGGCTCAAATTGTTGAGGCTAACAATACAGCTAGAGGGGATGGTGAATAGGTTATTTTAAGATCTTTATACTTTTTATGGAAAAACAGTGAGTACAAAGTAAAGATCAGGTTAAGGTGATGTTTCAAAAACCGTGAGCTAATTGTGCGCTCAAGTGATTGAAAAAGAGGAAAACAACAGCACACAAAGATATATAGTGGTTCAACTTTATCCACAAGCCTACGTCCACTCTCATCACTAACAACCACAAATTGGGCTGTAATACATTAGCAATTTGTAGAACAAGTTACAACCAACACACACTAATCCTTTTAGAAGATAGATTGCACTATCAGGAATTAGGTGCTGCTATTATTTAGTACATTTGATCTTTTAGCACAATTATAAGTGGCAAGAATCACAGACAGACAAGAGTTTTTTTGCTAAGAATACAACTTATAACATATTTTTGGATTTGTTTATTGCACGTCTCTCTAACATCTTGTCATCAAAGATCTTCTCTTTTATAGATACCCTCAAATAATCCGTTGGAGATGTCTTGGAGAAGCAAGATAGCTGCTAGGAGTTCGTTGGTGCTGCCGTTCAAGGATGGGATTGCCATACAGTCTATTCCGAACGCTACCCGAAATAGCTTTTGCGGCTTTGACATACTGTTAGACGACTTGTTCTCGGATCTTCCTTCCCTCCGCTTGTATATGTCCGGTCAACAACGGCTATAATGATGAACCAACGGTCATATTAAATGATCCATTTCTATAACAGCATGAACTTCGTGATCTTCTCAGCTTAGAACATTGTCTTATAGCTGATCTTTGAAGATTCGTTGGTGTTGTTTTACCTACAGAGCAGATTCATGATCTTATCACTTCAGTTTCGTAAATATTATCACGAACATTTGT